TCTTTCAATCTGTGGCAACTGATGGTAGGACCGACCTTTCAAGGAAAATCTCTTCTCGACCATGTGTACGTAACTGATAAATCGAACTATCCTTTTTCTGGTCATTTCTCTTTCGCTGGTTCGGATCATGATCTTTGTTTAAAAAAAAGGTCGTCTTTATTGATTCCCAATTTTAGCCATTACATTTGAATTACAAGTGAACCAAACCTCACATAAGTGAGAAATAGATGGTCACAGGTTACTAACTATGGTGCCCGTAGTGCAATGGACACCGCACAGACCTGTGCAACAAGTCAGAGAGGAAAACCACAAGGGAAAAAACTCTCTGCCAGTACTGGGAATTGAACCCAGTACCAGAACGACAATGTTAATATTCCTTTGTGGTTAATGAAGAGATGTGTTAATTCGTTTAGTATCCAACTTGCTGTCCTGTTTAGCCACCTTTTACATATTTTGTATGTACCTACTCTTTTTAAACATTCTATTATCTTACCATTGTATAAGGGCAAGGGACCGCGTAATGTGCCCAAGAATTACAGACCGATTGTTATCCTTAATTCCTGTAAATTATTTGAGAGGTACCTATATCATAGGTTAAAAGATAGAATAGATGCTAAATTAATAGATGAACAGCATGCCTATCGTAGCAACAAATCGTGTCACTCTGCGATTAGTGCTTTCACCACTTTCACCTACTCTGAACTTGACAAGAAGAACGGTATTGTGGGAGCAGTTTTCATTGATCTTAAGGATGCTTTCTCTAGTATTTCACATGACAAACTGGTTCGAAAATTGTTATCCAATTTTAAATTAAGCAAACGACTAGTTAAACTGATTTATTGTACTCTTGAGAATAGAACTTACAAATTTGTATCTGGTGATGATGTTTATTGTATTAATACGGGCGTAGGTCAAGGTTCAATTTTGGGTTCAATTCTTTTTTCTGCATTCCTCGACGACGTGAAACCCTCACTGGAGCTACAATTTTTATGTTATGCTGATGATATTATTATTTATTTTGGTTCTGACGATATTAACTTAATTGCTTTGAAATTACAACAATGTTTGCAATCCTTTTGTGATTGGTGTTTACTTAATGATCTTAATGTAAATTTTGACAAGACAAAATGTACGTATTTTCATAATGAGAGAGTTCCTTTAAAATCAACTGTAAATTCAATTATTGTTGATAATGATAAGTTAATCGAGCGTGTGTTCTCTTTCAAATATCTTGGCCTTGTATTAGATCCTAGTCTTAACTTTAAGTTACACTATGATCATGTCTATGCTAAAGTGTTTCAACGCATAAAATTGCTGCATGGTCTGAAGGTTTTGATTAATACTCAAGTCCATTCTGTTATTGATTATTGTATTGACATCTGGACTGTACAAACTTCTCTTTCTCTCAAGAAAGTACAAGATATTATTGATAATTTTTTGTTAAGTTACTACTTCCCAAAGCTTGCGAAATCATACTCTACAAGAAAGCGTTCACTTATTAATGTTAAAAAAGGAATTGATGTTAAAAAATTCAGAACAGATAATAATTTACTTACTGTTGAGGAAAGGTCTAATTATGTATTACTTAAGAATGCGTATAAACTTTATAAACTCGATAAGTTAACCTTTTCCGAGAGATCTATTAGTTATAACCGACCTAATATGTGTGCGCCTATTCATAGGACAGAAGCTTTTAAACGCTCGTTGACGTATAGAAGATACCGTATTTGGAATACGTTACCGAAGGACTGGGAATTACGTAATATGTCTTATGGTTTGTTTCAATCAAAAGCACGTGACCTTGTCACTGGTCAGAATTGTGACCAAGATGTGCAACCATGATTTGTTGTAGTTATTAGTGTAGTTTAGATGAATTCATTATTGTATGTGTCTTGATCTGAAAAGCAGATTTTTTCTGATGATTTGCGACATTTTAATAAACTCCAGTAAACAGTAAACGGTGGTCGAATTCTTCCTGCGGACCTTGATTTGAAAGGATTTACTCTAATGTACGGATTACACGAAGACACGGCAGTTGGACTAATTTACTCATACACACATCCATTTGGAACAGTGGCAATAGCTTTCGAGTCGATTTCTGAAAATATGTCAAATCTACTGTCCGACCTGGTTCGAATCTATTTAGGATTAAAAATGCGGTTTACGCTGAACTGCACAATTTCCCATTTAGAAAGAGAGGAAAGTAAAACGGTCCCATTTCTCACTCCGTACATAACTTTGCTCCATCCATCCAAAAGTCTGGTGGATCAAGTAATTTTAACGGGCGCAAACTACATTACAGCCTCACTTAACACTTACTCCAGTCACGGTACAAATTGTTCTTCAACACAATTTAGGAAACTAATTTATTTTCTGGAATTAATTTTCATCTGTTTTAGGCTCAATGTGGGCGCCTGACGAAATTCACAGTTTGGAAATTGAGTCACTTCAGCTCTTATCAAAACGAGGCGGTAAATACATACCCACACCTGCGCACCTTACACGTTTAGGTATCATAAATGTGAAATCCAGTTCGTCGTGTTTCGTAATGTGTGTCACCGCCGGCTTATTTTTGGACCGTATAAAACTGGATGATGCTCCTGATACAGATTATGACCAGCTCACAGCCAATCAAAAACGGCGTCTGCGTCATAAATGGACAATCCCAGACAGCTATACGGAAATTATGCAAGATTTGCAAGATCAAAAAGTGATCAACTTTACCGACTTTTTGATGCACGTCGATTTGGAAGACGTCTCAAAATTTGAGCAAATTAACCGGGTAGGAGTAGCTGTATTTTCCTTTGCAGGAGATCGACTATATCCTCTCCGCCTCCCAAACCCCCATTATAAACCCCTTCTTACAAAATTTGTGGATTTACTCCTGTTGGAGGACGACAGTGGGGCATATCATTTTACGTGCGTAAGAGACCTCCCTGCAGTTTTTGGTCGACACAATATGCATAGGTATGTAAAGATAAAAAGTGCATACCGATTAATTTATTGACAAAATAATCAAATTTCAGGAAAGAAATATGTCGATTTTGTTTAACTGCTGTAGACGAAACTCTATTGGAGAGGCACATTGAGGTTTGTGTACATATGCTATTTTACATAATAATGAAACAAAGTATAATAGATAAACATGCTCCTATTTACAGATCTGTCAATCGATAGGCGGACAATGATACTCATTTCCAGCTGACGACTTTTATGAATTTGTCAATCGCTACCAGAAAGAGCCCGTACACTTTACAGTCTTTTATGATTTTATTTGCGTTGGACCACAGATTGAAGAAGTCGTGAAATTGGATTCCAAACGACCGTTAAAAGTGGCAGGCTTTTACTTGCTAATAATTAAGGCGGACGGAACCGAATACGAATTAGAGTCGTATATAGGAGTTAATGCGATCGAGAAATTTACAGAGAGAGTGGAGTATTGGAGCAAACAATTAATTTTACATACTTCAAACAACATCATTAAAGTGTCGATGAGCCCTTCTGAAAAGCGACAACACGATCTGCAAAGAAACTGCGAAATGTGTGGGAAATTTTTAAATATTCCAAAAAATGAAAATTCTAAAAAAACACTCCACCATCATCACATGTTACAACCGGAACTCAAAGGTAAGGTTACATGTAGTGCCATTTTGACTTAATTGCACACGAAATAGACATAATATGGATTATTATTTGCAGGCTATATGACTGTCTGCAAGTTGTGCAATACTCGAACGAAGGCAAAATCTGTGGTTTTTGTGGCCCATCAGGCGTCCTCGTTTCATCATCAGCTCATATTAGCAGGGTTACATAGAGCAAACATTGACAAGTTTCAGCTTATCGGATCCAAGTCGAAAATAATGGCCTTAGAATATACCATTCTTGAAACAAAAGTATATCTGGTTGAGAGTTATAATTTCCTTTCCGTAACATTGGTAGAGTTATTTAGCCAAGCAGATAAGGAACGCACGGCCGAGTTTCCTATTCACAACTCCTTGGCCCTTGGTGACAGTTTTAAGCTTGGATTCCTCAGAAATTTTTCACAAATGCAGGAATCCATGTTATGCTACTCTGTCGAAGGTCAACGCTTTATAGTTGCTGATACGGTGCTTGAACCGTGTCCAATAAATAAGTGGAAAGAATGGATAAACTATTTTGGAGATCAGTGTGACCTTCGCAGCTGGCAAGATTATGCCAAAGTTTATATGAAGAATAGGACATACATTCTCGCTGATTTATACACCAACTTTTGTAAATACTGCATGGAGCACTTTAAACTTAACCCAGCCAATTTTATTTCCGTTGGGACATATGCATATTCATGTGCGTTCCAGGGGACTGAATTTGAATATATCAAATGTCCTGAAATGATTAGCTTATTCCGTCAAAACATTAGAGGTAAGTGAATTTCAAATAGCTGTATTAAAAATTTTACTATAAGCATTAACAGTAAATGACAATTTTTAGGTGGTTTGCATCTTTCAAATATGCGAATGTCAAAAAGTAACTCTGAAAGATTACAAGGCTTTGACAGCCGGAACAGCCGCACCGAAATATTGTATGCAGACATCAACAGCACATATGCTGCCTGCATGAAAAACCAACTGTATATTAGTTCCTGCGAGTGGATGGACGAGGATGAAGTAAAAAAAGTGAACCTGAGAGATCTTCCTCGTGACACTGGAACGGGTTGGGTCTTCCTGACTGATATTTACATTGACCAATCCAACCATGATGCAATGGTGGATTTTCCGATGCCAGCAACCAGAAGAATATTGTATGAAAGCGAACTTACAACAGGACCATGGGATGATGGCGAAGGGCAGAAAAGAGGGGAGTATCTAATCTGTGACCTTTTGCCTAAACTGGATCATTTGTCATACTATAAAAACCTAATTGCGTATGAAGAGTTGGGTAAGTAGTTATATATAATTGCACTAATTTAAATGCAAATTTTATATTGACATGCGTATACATATATGTAGGTGCCAAAGTGACTATTAAAAGAGGCATCCGCTTCAAGGAAGGGCCTATTCTTAATGAATTTGCACAAAAGGTGACGGATTTACGAAACGCAGCCAAAAGTCGAAGCAACAAGATGTTGGATAATTTCCTCAAAGTTATCTACGCTGCTGCCATCGGGGTTTGCTTGTCAGGATCGAAGGGACAAATGAAGCTTAAGCCTTGTGCGTCTAGGGCAAAAGCCCTCAAATATGCTTCGTCACACCAATTACAGGATTTCTGGCCCCTCAATGAACAAAAACAAATATCTGTATTTGGCTTCTCCAAATCTACTCAACTTGTCAATAAACCAATAATCATAGGTTTTCAAGTAAGGACGTTTTAATTAATGTATCTGTTAATTTATCCATCTTATTTGAAGCTTCTCATTTCAGGTCCTGGAACTCACGAAACTTGCGGTTCTGGAGGGTTATCTGAGGATGCGATAAACATTTCCAGACTGCAAAATTATTGCTGGTGAGTTTATTTGTCTGATAATGTTAGTCGGCGCTGAGTTTCTCCCATCTTTCTTGTAGGAAATACAGATAGTTTAGCGCTGGAAATTAAAAGCGAGAATAACGACTTTTTGGAGAAAATGCGCACACTGTCAGATTTATTTGATTTTTCCGACCTCCCATATTCGTCTGAGCTCTGGTCACGAAGAAATGTCAGCGTACCAGGTTGGCATTAATTAATTTTCATTGCTCAGAGCTTATAGTTTAAATTAGAATTTTTTTCAATTAAATAGGAAAATGGAAACCCATCCAACTTGGCAACATATTGGAGTTTATATCTTTGGGACCAGCAACCTATTCTTATCTTCCCATGTGCATTTGTCGCGGGGAGAAGCCTTCAATCTGTCCTGAGTGCATTCAAACCAGAAATGGGGTTCTTAAATGTCCAGGACTGTCCAAAGTAGCTCGATTACGAATATTTCACTCACATTATCGGAACCATTTAGCTCAGCATCAGGAAACCACCGTCACATATAATCAAGTGAAGAGAACGCTCGATGGACTTGAAATTAACGCACAAACCAGACGACCCTTCACATCAACTATTCAAACGAGACATTTTGTTTACGATAAAACCAGTTAACCATTTGGACATTACAAAATACAAAATACAAAATACAATCTAATGACTAATGGCATTAGTTTCCATGTTCCACAAAAAAATAGCAAACCTTACTTCACACATTCCTTCTGAATTTCCCAAGTTAATTTAAATCATTTTCAATGTTCAGTACCAATTTGTTTAATGATTTTAATGATAAATGATAAATGATTTAATGATTTAATGATTTAATTATTAATGAGGATAATGATCATAGAAATCCATCTTTACCTATATGCCCTAAGCACTTCTTCAGTATGTATATATAACGATGTTAAAGATATTTTTAGTTAGTCGTAGTTATACGTTTAAGCCGTTAATAATCTTTGGGGTTGCACTTTGGTTTTCAGCAAAAAAAACGTTTGCTTAAAAATAGCGGAATATGGAAACTATCGACGTGACCTTAAAACACCCATTTCGCGCCACACTGGTAGGCGCAGCCGCCTCGGGAAAATCCTCAACAATTTTAAATTTGTTACGATATAAAAAACGTGTAATATCTTGTAAATTGGATTTATCCGTATATGTGTACATGCATTGGCAACACGAATTCGAAAAAATACAAGAATTTGACGAAACGGTGGTTTTCCTTCTCGCCAGTGGTATTTATTTTCTGGAAGACATAATTAAAACTGCACCCAACTCGATGGTCATACTGGACGACCTCCAAATTCTATTCGAAACCACAGCAGGATCTAGCTTCATAACTTCTTTTTTCATTCACATCAGCACTCATTTGAACTGCTCCTGTATAGCTCTGCTGCATAATTTATACGCACGCAATTTAAGAAGCGTTGCCCTTAATTCTAGTTACACAATATTACACGTTAACAACCGTGATCGAGTCCAAATCGAAACGTTTGGAAGACAATTGCTACCCAGAACTGGTGGGTTTTTGCTGCAGAGCTATTTGAATGCCACATCGACCACAAAGTTTGGATCGTTGACTATTGATCATACAATACAACAAAGTGACCAGTGGCGAATCAGAAACTTTTTTTTTGTGCATCCAGAATTAGAATCCAATTTGAAATTTTATATTCCTGAAAAGAAAGGTGACAAAATAATGAGTAAAACTGTTCATGTAATATCCGATGGCGTATATGCTCATCTGATTGAGCGAGGTCTGATATCAACCAACCCTCAACTTCAGTCAAAGATTGAACTTAACTGTGGAGCGAATAATTTAACTAAACCAAACAGCGATCCTTTTCCAAGAAAACCTGAACAGGTGATTACAATTCTATTAAAGGGCTAGCCTTACACCAAATCAGCGCCCTCACAAAGTTACGCCACGTAGTTACTTATATTAAAACTAAGGCCTTCAAAAAGGCAACAACGGCAAAAAGAAATAAAACTGTAACACTGTTGAAAGCTCAATCCAAAGCAGCATCAGTTATAGTGCACGCAATATTGTGCCTTGTTTCCTCTGAATTGATTTGTGAAGTTTGTGATGAGTAGGAAAGATATTCAAAAAGCCTGGTTGGACCCTTCGCAGCCGGGGTCGCTTAGTTCAATTCAAACGTTTTTACAAAACCAGACAATATTCAAGGATCCCGTCGCCGTTAAAAATGCCCTATTGTCGCTCGACACTTTTTCAACTCACTATGGAAAAAAACGTAAAAAGTACGAGTAATTGCTGGATTCCGAAGATATTGCTATGCCGCGGATTTAATTGATTTTTCAAGAATTAAAACACTAAACCGCCATTTTGGGTACCTCATGGTAATTGTTGATATATTCAGTTCTCTTTGTCATTTAGTTCCAATTAAGCGAAAGACTGCAGCAGACATTGTTAAAGGATTAAGTGATATATTCACTAAACATGGGGCGCCATGGTATATATGGTTAGAAATTATTTTACATAACAAAACCAGCAAGTTTAAAATATTTTTAATTTATTCCAAGGTGGGACATGGAAAAGGCAACATCGAGCAAAATATACGTAAAGGCGATGCAAGAATGGAACGTTAAAAGTTTTTTCACCTTCTCTACAAGAAAAAGTTCATTCGTCGAAAGGAAAATTAGAGATATCCAGTCTCGACTTAATCGGATATTTACTGAACGAAAAAAAAAGGTTTGGATCGATAAGGCGTCTGAGATTGAATCTGCCTTAAATAACACATTTCACTCCCGGAGACCGATAGACGTCACCGACTCGAATTCCGCCCAAGTTTTCCAGACACGCAATGATGACGTTATTAAGCGATACGACACTATTCCACCACCAAAATTTAAAATTGGAGACTATTGTAGAATAGCTCGTTCAAAATTAATCTTTCAAAAGTTGTGAGTTGCAAACGTTTGAATCCTTTAATTTACTGGAAGAGTTCACGACTATAACGTATTATTTACAGATATGAAGCAAACTACAGTGTGGATATATTTCAAGTTATAAAGGTGATCAGAAGAGCCAACACCTACAGTTACTTAGTGGCAGACTCTGAGCAATTACCTCTCGAGTCAAGTTTTTTAGAACAAGATTTACTGCTCGTTCCTAAACCAGAGTAATGGAATCATCGAACTTTTACACCACTCTCTTCAGCACAACTTCCCTGGAGTATTATGAAGATAATTGTAGCTCTGATTTCCGAAATCACCTGGCAATACCAATTAGTCCAGGATATCCCTTAGAAGTGGGTTTGGCAAGTTTAACATATACCGACGCAGGAGATGCGCCTCTTCCTAACATCCCAATTCCAGTCACGCCCACAGTACAGAGTTTTTTTGGAGGACAGGAGTCTAATGGCATACTGCAATTTTCTAAAAAAGAACGAATTTCTAGTCTTGGATTCGTCAAGGAGGGCAATGAGCAAATATCTACATTTGTGTCATTCATTCCAAAAAAAAAAAATTCCAAAGGACATGTTAAATTTTCAGCATTTTTCATGTAATTCAGCCACTTTGACGGTGGATGGCGAAACAAAGTTATACAACCAGGTAAAATCTCAAATTTAATATGCGTATACGTATGAAATTATATATCATTGCTACTAATACATAATTATGCATTTTAGGTTAAATTTGATCCAACCAATGAGAATTATTTGACCGCCTATCACATGTTGGTGTCGTCAATGACCTCACCAGAAAATGGGACTTGTCTGGAAAGAAAAGAGTTTATCGACAATTGTTTCATGCTAGTCTATCAATTGACTCCGACGGGATCAGGTGGCTTCAGTCGAGAAGTAAATGGACAATTGAAACTTGAGATTACATTTAGCAAACCCCTGTCTGAAGCGGTCCAGCTATTCTCTGTAGGAAAATCACAAGGTGCGAAACATTTTGCGCATTTATAAAGCCCGTTACTTATAATATTTTGTGCCGCAGGATTAATTCAAATAGATGAGCAACGGAATATTTACACGGACCACTCAATAATTTAATCATGGATTCGGAAACTATAAAATGTTGCCTCAAGTTCCTTCTACAGCCTACAAATATTGAAAATTTCGATGTCATTCCATCGGATGGCATAACTCGAATTAATTTTGAGCAAACTCCATCAGCTATTTGTATAAATACAGATCCCAGGTAGAGTATTCACTGTCTGCATACATGCCAAATTATTTGGAGCAAGGTAATATAACGTGCATTATTTTATTATAGCTTTAAAAGAGGGCAGCATTGGACGGGTATTTATACATACACTGATGGACACGAAATAATTTCAGACTTTTGGTAAGTACTTGTGTAAATGTATTCATAGAAAATAATTTTAATGTAGTAATTTAATATTTATAAAACTATGTTAAGGTGCAGTTATGGGAAGCCTTACACAGCATATGGCTACAAATTCCCATATGAAATTCGTCACAGCAATACAAAGAGCTTGCAATCGATGACGAGTAATTATTGCGGTCTGTACGTTATATATTTCTTGGTTAATCGTGCAAGTGGGTTTAGTCTTGAGGAAATCGTGGAGCGGTTTGGACCATCGCCGGAAATTAACGATCAAATTGTTTTACGATTCTACAGAAACCTTCGTTTTTTAAAATCAGGAAATCCACTTTTGAATTCTGTTACACAACGTTGCTGCACCAGATTGTTGGCAAAATTGTAAAATGTATTTTTTATTATTTATACTTATTCCCATTGTGCTGGGCGATAACTAAAAAAATTTTTTTCATATTTTCAATATGGATAAGGCTTCCTCCAGCAGGGGACGATTCTTAGTGTGCATCCTCAAAATCTGGTAAAGTCGGACCGCTTTGGTTTCTTAGTAGGGTAAGTGTAGTGCAAAAATGACGGGAAGACTGAACTTCCCTTCGACCAAATCGTCACAGAAACCTTTCTTTTCTTCGTACTGCAGAATAATAGATCAATATAATAGTGGGGGTATGTTGCATAAACCATATTATTTTTTAGTGTTTTTCCATCATACAGATAACTTTACCTGTTTTGACATAATGTTCAAGTAATCGTCCCGAATTTGAAAGTGATGTCCAATAATTTGTGCCAGAGGAACGACATCAATTCCTGTCTTGCTTTTTGCTCCCAGCAATGTCGCCATCATCATGAGCTGTCCTGCTGTCTCTGATAATAATGCAGAGATACTAGGTAATGTAAATCACAAGAAATGGAATACATAGAGCTACGTCCATTTATACAGAGTGGTGAAAATGTTTCGCTACAATGTAAAATTTTACAATGATAAAAGCCCATAAATCTTAATTTTTTAGAAGATTTAGAATTGAGATTTTTATTAATTATTATCATTAAACTGATGAAACACTGAGGACAAAATTCTGAAAATGCTGAATTTCAGAGACAAAATTTCGGTGAAAAGTTAGGGGTTCTATAAGGGGTTCTAAAAGTTTTCTTATTGAAAAATTGTTCAATGTAGCGAGAAATTTTAACCACCCTAACTTACTATAGACCAGGATTTTGTTGTATTCTTCCTCCGTTGGAATATTGGCCTCCTTTAAGTCATCCTTGTTACACTGAATGTCTCTATAGTACAAATCCATCCCTTGCGACATGTGGATAAACTTGACATATTTGACAAACGTTAAGAGCACGTTGGCATCCCGAAATACGTTATGGACACGATGTGTCACGTCCGTCATGACGTAGGCGGACGCATTCATGCTGGGTGGAGCGCCATAAATCGTGTATGAAGACGGAACGCCACGCCGTAATTCGCTTGAGTCTTGAATATCATCCACCCTAATAAGTAAAGATTATCTTTTATTAGTTAAGGTTTTCTTGTATGGGGGCTCATCCCCAAGCGTTTTTTAAAATGAAGATTTTTTGCGCTTCAAAATCAATAACTAATTTTTAGGTTTAAAACTGATTAGGTTAGCATTCTGATTTTTGTTTCTTCCTTTAGAAAATATTTGACTTATTATTTTTATTTTTCATTTATTTTAATTTTATTGTCACATAAGAAAAAAATCAATTCAAACCTCCTAATTATAAAAACCTTAAAAATATGAGTTTTTAGACTGAATAAAATCTCCATTTTGTAAAAAAAAGGCACGGCGATGAACAAAAATCATGGTGCGTGGCCTATGCACAGAAACGACCAGTGTGGCGCTAATGGGAATAACCCTTTTGAAGTATAAGGGAACAAATAAGACCATAGATTTGACTCCTTTCGCTAAATTGATTGGATTGAACGCACAAATTTTGGATGATTTGAAGAACTTGACCTGTCCGGAGGTAGGAAACATGTATAAAGAGTGTTGATTTAATTCGTCCCGAGTTCTTGCCAAATTTTGATAGCATGTATCTCAAAAAACGGCGAAAACTTTGAAGTCAAGTTTTCCATCTTAGGTTCATATTTATGTTCGTTGTTAAATTATTCTTTGTATTCTGCAATTAGACCGTTTTGGCTATAAGAAATCCATACAAAAAAGGGTCTAATTTGAAAATACGAACCGTAGTATTCCGGCAATTCATATTAATTATTCCCTCTTTTCCTTCGACGTTGTGCTAATTTTCCTAAATTCCCAAAGCAAACATGGGGACGAATTAAATCAACACCCTTTAATACGATGTTCTATGTGTAGTTATACAGTACTTTGAGGTTTAAATATTGAATGAAATTATCCCAGCTCCACAAATCAAAAGGATTCTGTGACGACATTACTGAAGGAAAATTAAGCTTCCCCGTCACGTATTTCCTGAACAATACAAAACTTCCCCATCACAAAGAAAAGTCGGAAAGGCTACTGCAAATTTTGAAGTTAAGAACAGAAGACATTCTTCTTAAACAGGAAGCCGTGCAAATTCTTGAGGATTCCGGTGCTCTTGATTATACCAGAAAACGCGTCAAAAAGTTGCAAATGGACCTAATCCTGGAAGCCAGCAAGCTTGGGACTAACCCGGAATTGGTCAAACTTATCGAAGGAATAAAGAACAATGAGGGATAGATCGGAAACATTGTTTGCTGAGATATTAATTTGTATTAAATTGCTTCCCAATTCAATTAAATCATAAATTCATATATTTAGCTTTCAATCAGTAGTTTTATTTGTCTAGTAATGCGCATAAATGAATGATGCCTAATAAATATTACACACTAAATAAGTGAATACCTGCTCGTAAATATAGAATGGTTCATTTTTCTTGCTACTTATATTTCAAAATTTTGTAATGGGAAAACTTTGTAAATTTCTATTAGCTACGAAATTTTGGAAGCCTTGCCAATCGCAATGAGAATCCCTTGCCAAAAAGGGAAGGCATTTACGCAAAATCTTATTTTACTAACTAAATAGTTGGCGCAAATCCTATCAAAATAAAAATATTCCGAGAATGCGGAAACCTTGGGAAATGCTACAACCCTCGAGTGACATATTATTCCTGTACGCTTAAAGCGAAAATGGAAAGGAACAAAGAGAAAAGATCACTTTGATGGATAACGTGTATTCAAAAATGTGCCGAATTGATAAGTGCATCTTGAAATCTGGGAAAAGAAAGAATTATTCATTGAAACGGCACTGTTAAAAATAGTACTTTCCTTTTTGAAAAGTATGTAAATGCTTGTATGATATTGATGTTGAGTAGTGTCTAGGTATGTATATCTAGGTGTGTATATCTAGGTGTGTACTGCATTATGCAGTACATACCTAGATATAAGATATGCAGCCTGCATATCGTCATACTAGTTCTAAGAAGGCCCAAGTGCAGTCAATACTTAAATAATTCTAAAAATACCAAAGCGCACAATAAAAACTTGAAAAAACCCTAACTGCAATTCCAGAATTATAAATGGTAAATTAATTAGGTAAAATCATAACGTGAAATATGTTTCAGGCCTTCAAATTAAACATCAGGGGCTTACAATCGACAACAAGCATATATGTTTGTGGTCGGAATGCAGAAGGACAATTGGGCACGGGAAACACGACAGATCTTAATGTTCTAACCAGGGTGTAAGACGATTTCAGAATTTTTTATGACAATATGGATATCTAGCATCTCGTGGATGCCTCAAAGTTCAGCAAAATCAATGGATAAAACTATAGTTTGGCGTGAAATCCATGAAGGACTGAAGTTTAATAGTCCAATATAGAGTTCAATTCCTTCAATTCGGCACACGGTGTGACTCTTATCGAGGAAGAGGGATAATTTATGCATAAATCTTTGCGTTTCTCGAACGATACGTAAAGTGGAGTGATTGTTATACCCCAAACTACCATCATACGTACTTAGAACGTGCTATTAAGGGCAACTCTGGACGTTAGGACGATAACAAGTACGTTCTTCGTACCTTGTGAGTACGTCCCTGTAAGATTGTTTTGTCGCCGCTTTCAACGTACTATAGACCGTACCTGGATGGGACCTTGGTATGGAATAAGAACGTATATGGCCCGTTATTTTGTTCTGCATTAGTACGTACTTATTATGAATGTAAACAACTCCTGAGAATAATACGAAATTATTTAATTTCTGAATCCCGAAGGACTTTATTATATCAAGCATTACCAAAAATAACAGTTATATTGCAATAAGCGTGACATTAATACTACCAAACTTGATTATTCTATGATGGAACGTCTCGAACGGGTTTTTTCTGCAATATATAATAAATTATTCATATTTGCTGATATAATAAGAAAGACAAGAGTAAAAAAAAGCCTACATTCTGTGCTGCAATCCGCCCTGGAGCTTTCTTCAGATAATACTTTATGGCTTCGTCTGTATCTTTGCTGCTTGAGGCAGGAATTATTAGTCGAACTGCACCTTTAACGTTATACGATATTCTTAGTTGTGCATGCATATTGATGATTTATATACCTTGTGATAACTAACTTACGCAGTATAGACGAGTGGATTTCCGGGTAATTGCAAATTGCATGCTTCCCTGTTTTTCCGACAAAACTAAAGGTCGTCATCATGACATCAGTCATTAGTTCAGCCATGACTCGGTAGGCGGCTTCTGACGTCCGACGACCACCGACGAAAGACAAGTCTTGAACCTAAATTAAATTAAAAGATCACTTGGTGTACATTAATATACTGAGTATGTAGCTTGATACAATATTTTTAATATTTATAAGTATTTGAAATTACCAGCGCATCTTTTATTTCACTTACTCGCATATGCTTATCTCCAACCTGCACGTTTCTCTCTCCAAGTTTCAAATCCTCTTCTAAAGCCTTCCAATCGTCCAGGTTAGTAATAGGAAAGTTGAACTGATTTGTCCTGGGCGGAAATAGGATTGAGAGAAGCATTGTTTTGACGATTAAGTAGGAGCTGCACCGAATCATTCAACTGTATGACGCTCGCTGTTAAAAAGTCGACCTTACGAATCATTTGTTTTTCGAAAGCTGAAGCAAAAAAATAAATATTACCATTAGTCGTATAAATAAATATAGATACATAAGCGACTAATATTTAATTGCTCACTTTCTGTTGGTTGAGCATGTGTCAAAGTACTGTCGTCATAATCAATCAGTCGTGCGCGGCCTATGCTCACAGTCTGAGATGACGATGGCGTATTCACCCTTCGATCTTCATTTACTGAGCGAACTGGAGTGATTTATTTTCGAGCCATAGAAATCACTATAGAAAATGTAATTAAGTACCAATACTAAAACTATATTTTACCACAAGTTACAGATTCATAATATTTAGTTACCACTTGAGTTTTGTGGTGACGTCACATCGTTTTTTGCCGCGCTTATCTGCCGACGGTTTGCATCGACCTAAGAAACAAGAACGAATGTGTGATTTTATTAGCAGGATAGTGATGATTTAATTACACTCTATTGTTTACTCACTAAAACCAACTTTGGATAGCCATCATCACTATCACTCTCCATGTCAGCATCTTCACCTTCTTCGTCGGATGATTTATTTTTGATTTTTGTTTGAGAAATCCTTCTCTTTCGCTTTGGTGGTACTTTGGTTCTGGACTTATCCATCTCCTCGGCTGCACTGGTTTCAGCTTCTTTTTCCAGACGGACGAGCTTCTGATGGGCATCGTCGTACAGCCCTGTAAAAGAAAGAAAGGTTTTAAAAACTTGTATGTCGTTCACTACTTCAAGTTTATTAAACACAATTACATTCGTAAAATATGAATCATACTTTGATAGGTACTTATGTAGTTATGTATACATTTTTATAATTCCATACCTATTATTAATTACTTGTGATTCAATACTTACCATACCCTTTCACCACTTTCACCTCGTAAAGTGTCCAAGAGGTTGAATTTGGGACTTCACCGGATAAAACACCCTTCTTTAATTTTCTGTTGTCCTTCCACTAGGGGGGCCAGTAACAATACAACACTTTTTCAATTTTTGTTATCCATTTTCGATGAACTATTCCGACTGATTTGTCGTGGCCAAACTCGACCACTACAAATGGCAAACTAAATTCCACCAATGCACAATCACCCATTGCGGAATTATGGAAACTATAGTTTAGTGATGAAGAGGAAACATGGCTAATTTTCCAGAAAACGGGAGAGCTGCACACTTCCTAAAAATTAAACTGACTGGGATTTCTTTAGTTACACGGGACAGTTGTGCTAACACCACGCCAATAATATTTGAGTCGGCCGGCACTTTAAATAACGATTCCTCCACTTTTAGCACCTTGCCCCTACACAACACTTGGTTATCAATTATATGAAAAGAGGTAACTTTTATTAATTCACCACTTTTTAATTCGCATATATTATCCCCCAATTTTAACTTAATTTTAAATTTTTCACAAATTAATTCACTATGTGCACTGTTTAGTATTACTTGTGTATTATCAGTCTTACGTGAAGTTTGATACTGCACAATATTGCGTTTTTCCACAATTCTATTATGCACTTGCTGTAATGGGTACCTTTTGCCTTTAAGAAGAGATTGCAAATACCCCAGATGATCTTCGAATTTGAATGCACTAAAACTGTCTAGCGGCCCCAGTGTCAAAGCGTCTTCGGCCAAATGAACCAGCCCATGAACGTTATATGACATATGCTGGGCTCCATAAAGCTCCGAAAATTTAATGACCAATGTTTTTAGCAGTGAGTGGGCATAAGAATTTAGTGTTTTATATAATGTTTTGCAGCATAAAATTCTAACTGCTAAATGTAAGCAAATAAAGTGGTTATAATATTTTTTAGGTAGAGTTGATTTTAAAACTACAGGTCCAGAATATAACAAAAATTGTCGTAACTCAGTTGCCTTCCACCTTTTGACCTCTTCAATTGCTCTTGGCTTACGAGCAAACTCCGAAGGAATAAACGGTTTTAGGCATATTAATTTTCTTGTTAAATTGAGTTTTTCCTTGCACGATAAACGAAACCTGTTTACATATCCACCAAACCATAATAACACTAACTTTCTAACAACACCCAAACAGACCAAGTGCATGTATTCGTATGGGAATTGCTTGACCAAATTTATATTTAACTGTTGGATTCACACACTGTCTTCTACCCGAAAACCAGGAAATCCGATGAAAAGGGCCTTGGTTGTGAATTAAGATGAATAGTTTTAGGCAAATGAGTCCTTGTAATCGCCGTGAAGTCGAAATAAACTTTAATGTCAAAATATTTCCTTCTGGCAGGACCCTACTTTATTTAACTAACTCAAAATGCGATTAAAAACTTTAACAAAAACAATGACAATTTAATTACTAAGAAGAGCCTAAAATCGTAACGTGTTGCTACTTCAAAGTCTTGGTAAAGAGTAAAAAATTAAACGTTGGCTGAGCACGTAGGCAAAAAATCAGACAAAGAAACTGTGCCAGCGCCAACAGCAAAAGAAAGTGGGAATAAAAATCTCACAATGCCCCACTTTTCACATAATTAACATAATTATTAAAATTATCAAAAAACTACTAAATTAATATCTTCCGAAATCCAACATTAACCCTTCCAACTCACTGGGAGAGTGATGATGATCTTCGTCATGTTTTTCTCCA